CTCTGTCACGATCTCTTGGTGAGTGCAGATCGACAAGATAGTGGTTAACTAAGGGCGTGCTGTTTATTTAGGCAGATTTTCAAAATGTGAACTCAGACAGGAAAAATCCAAAATAACAAAAAAAACCAAACCGAGAAACACCAAAACTGGGAGAACTAAATAAGTAAACACAAAAAAAGCTTGAAGGCAACACGGAAACACGAGGAGGGATTCGCTGGAAGAAACACAGACAACTCCCGGGAGGAACACAACACACCGACGAAGACTGAAGCGAAACTGACCCTGAATTGGGACACAACAAATAAATACACACAAGAGGGTGATCGGGGAAGTGGAAACACATGGGGGAACAGCTGGGACAAATTAAAGGTGACGAGACAGAGCGACGCGAAGTAGAACACATTGAACATGAGACGCGAGACTGTCAAAATAAAACAGGAAACACAGAGGCATGACACAGTAGTAGGCATGAACAGGGAGGCAAAAGATGAAACACGAGGAGAGGAGCAGGGCAAGACAGGTGAGACTAAACACGGTGACACGACTAAGACACAAAGCGGGCAAAAAGAGATACAAACATGGAGGCACAAGACACACGGGGGGCGAGAGACAAATGCAAACACACGGGGAGGAGACAAACACACAAGAGAAACCTCAGGGAATAAATCCTAATAAAGGAAAAACCGAAAAACTCGATACAAATATGATACAAAGAGCAACATGCAATAAGCTCAGGATGCTCCTGACACCCTCTCTCATATAGATACATGGACTACTCAGTATTTGGGTAAAACTATATTACATTTTGAATATGAATGGCGTAAGATGACTTGTTATGAATGCGTTATATTCCCAACAAGTCATCTCACGGCATTCATTTTCTTTTGCGTAAGACCTTAAGAGGAACAGAAAGTTGAGTCAGGAAACTTGCAGGGCGGTAACCTGCTTGGACATGCAAACGACAGTGAACGATGCGAAAACAATGAGATGTGTCTGTGATGATATGGGGCTAGCAGCTTTTAGCATCATTCAAAGTGCTGTAATATTGTAACACGTAATATTGTTTCTCCTCAGGTTGAAGTCATCACATCTTATCAGCGTCCACTGTCTATACCATCTATACCAACACCAAGTTAATGAAACTGGTGTTGCCTGACCTCAAAGTCAATTCAGCATGTACCCTTGGGATCCACAAAAGGCAAGAATCTTATAACAGTTTGGATATTAACTATAACTGTTTCTAAATAG